CCTGAGGTTTTTCACGGCCTTCATGGCCAGTGGCCGCGTTCCACTGATGGCTCCCCTGGAGCTGCTCTCTCCGTCGTCTCGTCCTCCTGACATCTTGCCTTGGATTGCATCCTTGCCTGAATTCCATTTTGCCCTGGATGGGCTCTTGAATGAAATTTCGCCGTCGTGGGAAGCCCTTAGCTCCAGGCGGCTATGAATCATTCCTTCGAGGCCGCCTCTGCAGCGCGTGCTGCGCTAGGAACTCGCCAAGCAGCTGCGCGCCAAGATGAACATCATTTGTCGCTTGCTGCGTTTCGGGATCACCGTCTCGGGCACGCGCGGCGGCCCCGCCAAGCAGTCGAGTGCGATCCTCGGTTCCGCGTTCATGTTATTGCTGATCTTACCGAACGCGTGCATTTAGGCGGTCTACGTCAGCATGTTCGCGTTTTGCATGACAAAATATGCACGGACCAGGAGGGGGCGACTCATCGCAAAGAGTTTGACGTTGACCGCAAGCGTGAACTTATTGCCCGGGACCGTCGACGGCAGGAGTTACGGAGTAAATTCAGCAAGCGCACTTACCGTCCACGTTCCTCAACCGAGGCCTCCGCAGTTGCCCTCCGTGGTTTTTGGCCTGGCATACTCTGGTCCCCTTCGGTCGATTCCTCCCCCTGGAAAGAATTCAACCCGTTCGTCCAGGTTCTCTCTGGCCCTCTGGATTAGGGCTGGCCTCCCCCTGAAGCATCTGGCATGAGCTCCCTCTTAAACGTCGTCGCAACATGCCTGGCCCCGATTGCATGTCGCATTCGGTTTGGAAAATTCGAAAGACGTTCGAGGATGCTTCATAGTGTTTACCTTGTGTCTTTCAATGAGCAAGCGCGCGCCCTTCCCGGCGACATGAGGTGGGGCCTTCGTTGTCTTTCCCCCGAGAGGTGTTGACCCAAGAGACCAGCCTGGCTGCGCCACCTATTCGTCAGCCGTCTGCCAACAGGCCGCTCTGCATGAGTAGTGCTGATATTAAGATGCTGGCTAATGCGTTCATCATTCCCTTGGCTGGAAACACATTGGTCTGAATGGTCGTGAACAAGCACGCGCTCGTGGTCGCGATATGCTCGCTCATGTAGTGCGCGCGGAGGCGTGGGGATCACTCACCATCTGCGCGGCGACAAGTACTCCTCCCTAATATTCGCTGACTTCTCCTCGGGTTTCCCCTCCTTGGCGATCTCCTGGCTCTTCCATGTCCTAAGGTGCATGCGCGCTCCCAAGCGCGCTACCCGCTTGTTTGACGTGATGCATGAGAACAATATTGCCCAGATGTCCCTGTCTGGCCGCCGATTTGATTGGATCGACATCTGCTCAGGTGTCAAGCAGGGCTGCCCGGATTCCATGCATCTCTTCGCCCTTGCCGTCGACCCTCTCCTCCGGTGGACCCGACCCCGCTGCGCAGCTCACATCAGCATTTACCTCGCGCATGCAGATGACTTTCTCGTTGGTTTTGTAAGCGTGCTTCGTTTGGCCCTTGGCCACGGTTGCCAATCTACGCCTGAACTTTAAGGAGTGACAGCTGATTATATGCAGCGAAGTGAAACGTGATTTCCTGGAGCCCACCCTTGCATCCTTCGGTCACCCCTTCCACGATAAGTATTCTGGCTTGCTCATGGGCCATTTACTTGGGCATTCAGGTAGGTCCTGAGGCTCACCACCATACGCGGCGCGTTTTCGCTCCCAAAATCAACCATGAAATTCGACATACTCGTGGCATGGGATTCGGGCTCGCGTTATCGGCCGCATCGTTCAAAGCTGCGCGCGTTTCGCTTCTTCTCGTCCGCTTCCAGATGTACCCCCCGAGCGGGATGATAACGAAGATATTCAAAAAAGGCGTTCTCCTTTCCACCGTTGGCTTGCGGAACGCCAGCTCCTATAGCTGGGCCACTACATTTAAGGATATCGGGCTAGGTGTAGAGTTCGCAGACATTCACGCTGTTGCGAAAATGGCCTGCCTCCGATGTCGTCTTCCCTCGAGTGACTTTCCGAAGGTGTTGGCTGAGCTGCAGGCGGAGCGAGACTTCATGGAGCACATCCCTTTTCCTTGGCACAGTGGTTGGCATGAGCATTCCTTTACATCGTACACGCGCGGTCTTCGCTCGTGGCATGTCGTTCAAAACCTTGGTTTCGATGCTGACAGCAGATCCTTCCAGTCTAAACTGTGCGGTTTTATCCGCCAGTGCACCCCGACAGAGCCTGCCAAATCCATCCTTTTTCGACGTGCCCAGTTTTTTCTCCCAGAGGCTGGAGCCTCCATGATCGCTGATTTCTGCCTGAATGCGAAGAAGAGTGTTATGAAAGACGCTTCTATGTATAATGATGTCGCCCTTCTGCGTTTCCTCACGGCGTCCTTTAACACAAGTGCAAGATTGCATGGTACACCTGCTGGATGCTTGTTCGGATGTTTGCCGCCTTCCCTTGGGACCGATCTGGACTCGATTGACCATTATTGCATTTGCCCCAGACTTCAGGACCTATTAATAACTTGGTTGGGACCTACCTCTATATGTTTTCTGGACCGTTCAGTATGGACCCGAGGGCGAGCGACCTCATTGGTTCTGCCTCCTCCTCCTCCTCCTCCTCCTCCTCCTCCTCCTCCTCATCCGCGTTCCTACCCGTGTCTGCTTGTTGCGCGCTGCATGTTACGATGCCTTTCTAGCGGCACATGATTTCCGCCGTTTCTTGAAACTTGGCACCCCTGCGCAGCACTTCGAGGCTCGGCTCAGAGTGACAGCCCGAAAGCACCGCGCCCTGTCGGATGCTTGGTCGGGGTGTTCTCTTGATATCGCCCACAGGCTTGGCCGTCGTCCCCCTCCTCCTGCTGGTGTGCAATTCGGCGAGGCGCTACCGACCGGGATGCCTGGCACCCCTCGTGGTAGATGGGAGCCTCCCACTGAACTGTCTCCGCTGCCCCCTCTTGCTCCTTGCACAAGCTCTCAGAGAGCGTCGGTATGACATCTTGGGCTTGGCATCGTGCCCGTCCTGGCCGCTGCCTGAGGCCTTGCCTCCACCACCTCGGCGATAGGAAGCTGAACAGACCAGTGAATCATGGGGGGGGAAGTTCTTTCAGTCTTCGTGGCTCCATGAGGAGGTCCACACGCGGCTCCAGTACATAGGCAAGACCACATGCCCCCCTTGTGAGTTGGGTCGTCGTTTTGAACCGGCGCGCGCGTTTCCTTCCTTCCTCCGTATCCGCCTCCTCGTTCCACTGCCCTCCGCAGGCCAATTTCGGCGCAGCCCTCACTCGCTTCGTGGACCCATAGGGAGCTCCACTGAAGCCCCCTATGGGGGTGGTGTTGTATAGCGTCCCCGCTACTGCCAAGGCCAATCAGTCTGGGGGGAGTTTTCTCCCAGCGCTTGTCCACGTACGCCAGCTTGCAGCCAGCCACATGTCAGCGAGGGCGAGGCGATGTTCTGCGCCGCAGAGGTTCCGCCGCATCGCTTGCCGAAGCCAGAACTGCGCCTTGAAGCGACCAATCCGAGGAGCATGAGTGGGCCCAACCCGACCACGCGGGACACGCGTGGAGGACGTCTTAAGCGAGATGCCGCCCGAATCATGTCAAACCAGGCCAGTGTGGCACGAGAACGCTCAAGCTCACCCCGAGTCAGAACACATTGACCAAATATCATCGCGTTTCAAGCGAAACCGCCGCCAAGCCAGGTAAATCGCAAGGACGTTTCAGGCGAAGCCGCGCCCAAACCAAGCAAAACAAAGCCAACCCAAGAAAATCGCGAGATTACCCCAATCGAAGCCGCGACCACAACAAGCCAAACCAAGCAGATTGCAAGGACGTCCCAGGCGAAACCAAGCCGAACAGGGCAAACAGCAAGGACACCGCAGGCGAAACCGCTCCGAAACCAAGGCAAACAATTCGCGAGGACGTCTCAGGCGAAACCGGCCTCCAACCAGGCGCAACCAGGGCCTCATCCAAGCAAATCCTGAGGGTCACTCAGGCGGGGCGCCTGGCCAAACCAGGCGCCGCCAGGCGCGGCCAGGGGCCCAACCAGGCAGAAGAACGCCCCCGAACCTCGGGCTCCATCCACATCTCTTTAAAACGTCTGGCGTCGAAGCTGCCCAAAGAGTACTCCAGATTTCGTAATAAAGGGAGGGGGGTCTCATTTCGGGGGGGGTCTCTTCCAGGCTATCTTGGAGGGCCTGGGGGGGTCTGGGGACGATGTTTTGGAGGGTTCTCCCACGGGGGGGGGGTCTGAAATGGCTTGTCTTGGAGGGTCCAGACCCGCTCCCTTTTATTACGAAATCTGGAGTAGCCTCCTTGCTCCGCACCCACTCCGGGGCGTCGACCACGCCCCGTGGGCCTCCAGCCGGCCGTGGCCTGAAGGCCTCCACGAGCCTGCGGGCGCAATGCCCCCGACCCCTCCTCCTCCTCCTCCTCCTCCTCCTCCTCCTCCTCCTCCTCCTCCTCCTCCGCCCCCTGGCGGGGAGAGCTGAGGCGTGCGTGCCACCTCTCTCGAAGAAGCTGCACGCACGCATCGGATCCTTGCACGTGGCGTCGGCGAGAGGCGTGATGGGGCAGGGTGAGGACGGGGGGCCCCCATCGGGGATGGAGGACCGGGGGGAGGACGAAGCAGAAAGCTCGAGCGAAGGACTCCACGGCCCATGTCAGGAGCGAAAGAAGGACGTACACGGACATGAATCCACGTTGGTTTCGTGAGTACGCACTGCGCGAACCGTCGTATCACGCGGCTGCTCTCGCGGATTGAGGGGCCGTGCTCGTGTACGTGAGTGGGCGCGTACGTCCTTCGTGTGCTCCCAATCATGGGGGGAGGGAGGGTGGGGAGTGGGGGAGACGGCGGGGCAGGAAAGCCAGGAGGGGACCATGAGGCCAGGGGGGCCATGAGGGGATGACGAGCCACGACCACGGCGAGTATAAAAGGTTCTGCAGCCCAGCGAAAGAGGGGGGAGGGGGGGAGCAGGGAGGCCAGGGATAGATTCTGCGGCCCGGCAGGGTAGAGGCCAGAGAGACCCGCGCAGGCAGGGGGATCCGCAGACGTTTTAGGGCAAGGCCTAACCCTTTCAGCGTCCCCCCCTTCCCCACCGACCGCTGCCTGCGGCACCGCTGGAGCCATGGGCATCTCGCGCGACTCCCGCCACAAGCACCGCAAGACTGGCGGCCGCAGAAATATCCACCAGAAGAAGCGTAAATACGAGATGGGCCGGCCGTGGGCCCACTGCAAGCTGGGTTCTAAGCTCGACCACACGTAAGAGTGACCCTTCGCCAGAATGATTTTTGGTGCGGGCTCACGGGGGTCCCCCAGATCGCCCAGCGCGATGTGGTAGCGGCTGCTTGCGCGCTTGGATTTGGCCACCTCGCGCCCCCTTGGCCCGCGCACTAGCGCACTAAAGGTCACTCTTGCCTAGGGTCACTCTTGCGTGTAGTCGGTAAGCGCGTGCGCCCGGTGCGCGGCCGGGGGGGCAACATGAAGTACCGCGCCCTCCGCTTGGACAGTGGCAATTTCGCGTGGGGCACCGAGAACAGCACCAAGAAGGTTCGCGTCCTAGACGTAGTTTACAACGCCAGCAGCAACGAGCTCGTGCGCACGAAGACGCTCGTGAAGAATGCGATCGTGCAGATCGATGCGCAGCCCTTCAAGCAGTACTACCTCAAGAAATACGGGGTTGACCTCGGCAAGAAGATCAAGGGGGCGCCCGTCAAGAAGGAGGGCGAGGAGGAGGTCAAGAGGAGTCACCACGTCATGGCGAGGCAGAAGTACCTGGCGTCCAAGCAGAAGCTGGACCCGGGCGTCGAGGACCAGTTCCAGAGCGGCCGCCTGCTCGCGTGTATCGCCTCCCGCCCCGGGCAGAGTGGCCGCTGCGATGGCTACGTTCTCGAGGGGGACGAGCTGACATTCTACAAGAGGAAGCTGGAGAAGAAGAAGAAACAGTAAACCACGCGCGGCACCTGCCCAGCGCGGGCGCAGGACCCGATCCAGCGCGCGGGGGATGCAGAGCGGCGATCAGAGAGGCGCTCAGCGCGCGACTGATAGCGAACAGGAATGCTCCTCCTCAGCAACCTCCTGTTCGTGATCCTGCTGCAGCTCTTCCTCATCATCCCCTCCAGTTCCCTTATCCTCCTCCTCCAGGCCCGTCCCTCCACGCCTCTCGCAGGTTCGTGCGATCGCCCCGATTGTACGATGGATGCGCCGCCTAACGCATTATCCTTATCCCCCGCTCCCCCTCCTTGACCTCCCGTTCCCCGCTACCTGTTCATCCACATTATTTTTCCTCGTCTGTATCCTCCTGTTCCTCCTTCCCTTGCTCCTCCGCCTCCTCCCCCGTCTCGCCTCCCCCAGTCCCATTGCTCTTCTCCAGCCAATTCCCACGCACATGTCTACGGCCGCCAATCCTACAAGCAATGCGAGAGGCACGACGAAACGTGTGACCAGTTGCATGTCGCCTCCACCTGTGTTCCCGTCCACCCCCCCTCACCGGGTAGGAGGCCGCAGGCACAAGGAGGGGCCTCACATCGGTCAGAGTATTATGGCCATGCCCTGCGCTACACAACTCTGCATACTCCAGATTTCGTAATAAAAGGGAGGGGGTCACAACCCTCCCAGACGAGAAGTTTTAGACCCCCCCCGTGGGAGAACCCTCCAAAACATCGTCCCCAGACCCCCCCAGGCCCTCCAAGATAGCCTGGAAGAGACCCCCCCCAAAATGAGACCCCCCTCCCTTTATTACGAAATCTGGAGTACGTGGTGAGAGCCCAATGTGCAGATCCAGCAGCAAGAAGCTTCCAACAAGCACGATGCGCGTATGCCCTCCGTTTCCCCGGGCCCCCGCCCACCCTCGGCCCGTTCTCCCTGGCGCTGCCGGTGCACGCGGCTGCCGTCACACCTGCCGCCGCTGCGGTGACACCTGGTGGACAGCCGTCGAGAAGGATCGACATCGAACTTCCATCCAGGGCTGATGGTTTTGAGAATCTAGTTCCAGCGCGCACACACGCATACACACACGCACACACACAGAGAGAGAGATTTGTCCCTCCTACGTGCGGCAGATTCCAAATCACAGAACGAAGCATCCAGTCGCGATTGCATCGAAACGCACGTAGGCGGATCGGCATCGAAAATCAGACGATGCAGCAGGAGGAGGAGGAGGAGGAGGAGGAGGAGGAGGAGGAGGAGGAGGAGGAGGAGGAGGAGGAGGAGGAGGAGGAGGAGGGGGGGCACCGCGGAGACGGCGCCAATCGGCCGTACTTCGAGCGCGAGAGGGTGCCAACGGCGGGCTCAACCGTAGGCGGGTGAAACGAGGGACACAACAGAAGGGAGCCGACTCAAAATGACAAATTGTGCCAAAGTGGCCAGACGGGAGGAGCAGGTGGCTGGGATGCCCGGCGACACCAGCCGTGCTCGGTCCTGGCTTCTCGGTCCACCAGCAAGCCAACCCGGGTGGATTCTTCCGTCGCGGGGCGGCAACGGCAATCCGCACGCGCGCTCGAGTGGGCCAGGCAATGGCAGGCACTGGTTGTCCGGCTGCAAAGAGGACGAGGCACGGGCGGAGCGCGGCCGCGGCTGGAGTTAAGAGGACGGAGAACACTCACGGCGCGAAGGACTTCGACCGGAGTGTCCAGGCGGCCAGCCTGCGCTGACGCTGCCTGGCAGTGGACGCGGGGCGGCATCGCGGCCCCACCTGGGGACGGAGGCGCAGGCTGCCGAGCGAGAGCGGGGAGCACGCCACACCAGGACTGGAAGGGAGCGGCGAGCGAGCCCGCGCCGGCGGGCGGGCATCCAGGCGTTCGGCGGCGGCCCGCGTGCCAGGTGAACGGGTGGCGCAGGGCCTCCCGACGAGGGAACGCGGCCGAGACGGGCAAAAAGGGAAAGGGAGCATCGCGGACGAAGGAGGGGGGGTGGCTGGGATGCCAGGCGACAGCAGCCTTGGCCCTTGGGCCAAGGGTGAGCAGAGGCCAGAACGGCCGAACGGCCAGCGGCAGCCCCACAGCTGCACACCACGTCGGCGGCCAGCCAGGGGGGGAGCGGGAGGGGGCAGGCCTTCTCAGAAGGCGGTGGGGCTTCTGAGAAGCCTTCGCGCCTTCTGAGAAGTGCTGTATGTCTTCGGGAAAGGCTTGAACAACTTTTCGGAAGTCCCGAGCCCTTCGGGGCCGGTGGTGCTGGAAGCGTTCCCTCTCAATGCCCTCTTATACAGTAGGTATTCCGATAAATTCCACGCTTTCAGCAGGGGGAAGCGCTCCCTCGCAATACCCCTGCTGGTGCACCATGTATTTCGAGAAGTTCCACGTTCCCGGCGAAGGGAGGGGGGCGTCTTTTGAGAAGGCCCTGGGCTCGCCGCCGAACATGGCGGTGGGCGAGACCGCCGAGCGGCGCGGCGCGTGGCTGCCGGGCAGCGGGATCCTGCCGAGGAGCAGCTCGGCAGGGTCGCCGGCCCGGCGGCAGAGAGGCGGAGCTCACGGCGCGCAGAACGGCGGCCGGGTGGGTTGGCCCGAGCAGGGGGACGGGAAGGATGGGGGAGGCTGGAGCCGTCTGGGGGGCTGAGGGGGCCCAGCGCTGGTTCCAACGAGCAGGAAAGTCGGGCAGGCTCGAGGCGCTGGGTCGGGGAAGGTTTTTTTTATGCGCTTCGGCCTCCAGGGGCCGTTTTCGGGCCGTGGGGCCGTCAGAAACATATCCAAGGTGAAAAACTGCACCAGATGGACCCGTGGAGGTGTCTGGGGACCGATCTTGACCGTTTTCGGGCCGTGGGACCGTCAGAAACATATCCAAGATGAAAAACTGCACCAGATGGACCCGTGGAGGGGTCTGGGGACCGATCTTGACCGGATTTGCCCTCATCCCCCTCTCCTGGCCGAATTTTCGGGGTCCCAGCAAGTTCAGACCCTGGTGGCCCCTAGTGAGGAGGATCGGTACGATCAAAATGAGTACATAAAGATCCTGCCCATTTTGAACAGGACTGGCTGTTGGCGTCGCCGCGGACGGTGTCCATTTGAGGCACAAGCTCGCCTGTCGGACAGCGGTCGCTGTTGGTTTTGGACAGGACTTGCTGCTGGGCGTCGTATTCTCCTTTCCTTATCTATGTGCGCCGCGCGTGCCAGGACACCTTCGTCAGTCTTGTCCAAGAACAAGTCAAAGTGATCGCGAGGCGCCCGCGCATGATCACGATGTTTGCCGCAACGTGCATGTCACGTTGTTGTTTGACAGGGATGACGGGCATGTGCGTCGCAGGCAATATGTTGCCCCCCCTCCCTCGCCCGTGTCAAAAAGCAATGCAAGGCGATCGTTTGAAGCCCACGCATGATCCCGAATGTCACTCCTCACCCCACTCCCTCTCATCCCTCTTGCCTCTGCTTTCCGCGTGCCCACGTCGGCACACCCCTCACACGTTTCGTGGCCCCACAGGGAGCTTTTTCATAGGCTCCTGTGGCAGGGTTCGCATGCTTCCCCCCGCTTCCTTCGGCACACCCGTCACACGTTTCGTGGCCCCACAGGGAGCTCCTTCGAAGGCTCCTGTGGCAGGGTTTGCATACGTCCCCCCACCTACGTCGACACACCCCTCGCACGTTCTGTCGCCCCACAGGGAAATTCGAATGCTCCTTCCTGTTGGAGGGTTCGCATTCGTCCCCCCGCCCATTTCGGCACACCCCTCACACGCTTCGTGGCCTCATAGGGAGCTCCACTCACTCCTTCGTCCCACCCGCATTGCGATGCTCGCACTTGCATCTGATTGGGCCCTCTGCCCGGATATTTGTTTGACAGGGGTGGTCGGGGATGTTGGCATGATTCCAGGGTTGTCCCAGGTCAGGTGGGGGGAGAGAGTGTAGTAATTAGCAGTGATGAGGATATCCACAGGCCCCATGCCGTCTCGCTCACTCCAACCTGCCCTCCGAAGAGATAAGTAGCACCCGAGCCTCGGCATGGGCTGGGGCCACCATCGACAACCATCAGGAACCAATGCAGACGCCAGCCAGGTGCGCGACGCCCGCGAGGTGCGCCGCAAGGGAAAGGGTACCCCCATCACCGCTGTCAAATAAACGCTGCAAAGTGATCGCGGGGCGCCCGCGCATGGTCAAATGTTTGACCGCGGTGTGCGGTTAGCATTGCTTTGCGTTGATAGGGATGGTGGGCCTGCACACGTGGGGCAACATGTGCCCCCCCTTCTGTCCCTACCAACGTAGCTTGGCGAAGGGCCCAACCATAGGCAAGTGTGTGCCGCACGACAGGTGCAAACTGAGGAATGAGGCGTAAATGAGAAAGACGGAGCGACGTTGCAGATGGGTTCGCGGAGGTCCGCCGTGACGGGCTACATCTGGATGCAACCCGTTACAGCTAATTTGCGCGTCTGTCGGCGTGTCTTTGGAGAGCAGTTGGCGGAGGGTCTTCGGTGGAGCTCCCTGTGGGCCACGAAACGTGCGAGGAGTGTGCCGAAATAGGCGCGGCCACGCATGCGAATACTGCTACTGGGGCGTTCGGTGCAGCCGCCACGAAACGTGTGAGGAGTGTACCGAAACAGTATGCAGAATGCATGCGGCGCTAGCCAGTGGGGCCTTTGGTGGGGCTCTGTTTGGGGCCACAACACGTGTGAGGTGCGCCGAGTGTGAAGAAGGCATGCGAACCTAGTAAGTGGGATTGGCCTCAGATAGCATTCCCCATGGGGCCCCGAAGCGTGTGATGGGTGCGCGGAGATTGTGTGGAGAAGGCATGCGGGCCTTGCCATTGGGGCCTCAGGTGGGGCTCCTTATGAAACCGCGAAGCGTGTAAAGGGTGCGCCGAAATTGTGCAGAGTGCTCGTGAGAACCTGGGCACTGGGGCCTTCGTCGGGGTTCCCATTGGGGCCACATCACGTCTGAGGTGTGCGCCGAAGTGGAGTGGAGAAGGCACGCGAACTTAGCCACTGGGGCCTTAGGCGGGGCCCCCTTACGGGGCCGCGAAGCGCGTCAAAAGCTCGCCGAAGCGGTGTGAAGAAGGGCGGCGAATTTACCCACAGAGGCTTTAGGTGGAGCTCCTTATGGGGGCACGAAACGTGTGAGGGTGCACTGAAATAGTATG